TCCATCTGCTTCTGCTTCCAAGTGCTGGGATTAAAAGCCTTTGCCACTACCACCCGGCCACCTACACTTCATTTTCAGAGCCAGCTTTCATTGCTTTTGATTTAGTTTCTTTTCCAGCTCCTCCTACTCTTTAGTTTTTTGTTGTTTTAATTTGCTGTTTTGACATTCTAGAAAAAGTTGCCTGGCTCCCATCTCTCCCACTGGAACATGTGATGGGCTGTGGGTGTAGTGTGAATACATGTCTACTGCTTTAATTGGGACTAACTTTGTGCTCTTTAGTTTCCCACAGTCAGATCACGCGCCTGTACAGCCGGTTCACCAGCCTGGACAAAGGGGAGAATGGGACTCTCAGGTGAGCACCTTTCCCCCCCAGAAACCAAGAACTCCCTAGCAGCTGGCTTTATTCCAAGGGTAGGCACACTAAGTGTCTTGCATTTTGAGGGCAAGGACCATTTTGGACAGTGCCTACATATCGTTGGTCCACCGAGGAGTTAAATAAGCAGAACAGTGATACTAACTCAAGGCTAGGCTTCTGCCGCTTTATTCCAACTCTCTGTAGTTTAGAGGCTGTTCTTCCAGTCCTAGAAAGTTTTTGTTTGTTTTGGTTTTTCAGGACAAGGTTTCTCTGTGTAGCCCTGGCTGTCCTGGAACTCACTTTATAGACCAGGCTGGCCTCAAACTCAGAGAGATCCACCTGCCTCTGCCTCTCAAGCACATGCGCCAACACTGCCCGGCTGAATTAGGATTTTTGGGTTTTTTTTTTAAATGCCTTCTTTCTTCACAAGCATTTTCCCATGGCCCTTGCAAACACATTGGTTTTTATAAAACTGACCCATACATGGCTTAGGTTACTCTACTGTCTCTCATGACCCAACCCATAACTTAGGGAACATCACATTATGTTGATGCTAGACTAGGTGTTCGGTGTTTTGTTTAGACTGACGGTTCTCATCTGCAGGCTGACTTACCACCCAGGGACAAAGGTCTAGAGGCAGTTCTGATGGTCATGATTGGGAAGCTCTGCTGAGATGTAGTCGGCTGTCCTTCCGTAGCACCGTGACCGAGAACCATGCCGCACTAGGGCTGGAGGGATGGCTCAGTGGTTAAGAGCACATGCTGATTTTGCAGAGGACCTGAGTTCTCTTCTGACACCCACATCAGTCTTCTTACAGCTGCCTGCCTATAGCTACAGCTGCAGAGGATCCAATACCCTCCACACCTCTGTGGCCACCTGGGTATTAAGACAAGAGATGGGTCAGGCTTGGTGTTGAACTTCTGTAATTCCAACTTGAGGAATTGAGGCAGCCTGGGTTCACTGTGTAGCTATTACATAATAAGGCCCTAGCTTTAAAAAAAGGAAAAAAAGCTGGTATTGAAAGACAAGACTTGGGTCCTTATGACATTAGAAGTCCATGCTTAGGTCCCATTATAGAGTATGAACTGATTCTGGCTAGATTGTATACCCTACTTGATAGTAGGTCTGTTATTTATAGGTATGTGCTTTCAGATAAAATTAATGTTGTTAGGTTATTGAAATGAAAAAAGTGATCATAGAATTCAAAAATAAGCCTTTGTTTTCATGTAAAAGTGTGGATTTTTAAATATTTATTTTATGTTCAATGGTGTTTTGCCTGCATGTATGTCTATGTGAAGGTGTCAGATCCCCTGGAACTGGAGTTACAGACAGGCGTGAGCTGCCATGTGGGTGCTGGGAATTGAACCCAGGTCCTCTGGAAGACCAGCAAATGCTCTTAACTGCTGAGTCGTCTCTCCATCCCCGAGGATTATTTTTCACCTTCTTGTTAGACAAGAGGAACTACATTTTGTTGGGCAGATAGACTTTTGTATTGTAGGACAAATTATGTAATCCACAATCCTATTCCTCAGTGAGGCATCACGGTGGGCCCTCCAGCTGTTACACCTAGCCCGTTATGTGCCACAAGAATGGGAAAAGACAATACTTACGGGTTCCAAAGATTTTACTAAATCACCACATAAGTGGATCACTGGTCAGGGTTACCGGACAAGGACTCAGAAGCCTTGTTTTTCCTGACAGTCCTGAGCAGGGATAGAAGTGGGGTTTATAAGCACAAAAATTACAAACATGTTGCTGAGTTACAGTTAAAGTGTTCACCAATCAGGATTTAGAGATTAGGGGCTACCTTGAGTGGTCCATGATTGCCAACCCACAAACAATGCAAGCCTTTCAGTCCAACCACTCAGATTCATTTGTTCCTTCTTTTGTTAGGAACAACCATAATGTTTCTAGAGAACTAAAGATGCATAACAACTATTCTTGTGGTTTAGGGAGGCGGTTGGTCAGCCATTGGAAGTTCTCAGCTCCTCTAGTACTTGGGAACCTGAACTTTATTTCACCCTATGGGTAAATGGAGTCTGAAGTCAAAATGGCAGTATTTAAGCCAAGGTACTTTTGCTTGCTCCCTTCAGAGGTCAGAAGACAACTTGAAAAATTTGACTCTGTGAGGACTGGAACAATTTAGAGCAGTTGTTCCTCTCTCCCCCACCCCACAGCTGAGGACCAAACCCAGGGCCTTGAGCTTACTAGGCAAGTGCTCTACCACTGAACTAAATCCCCAACCCCAAATTTTTGTTTTGTTTTTGTTTGTTTTTTGAGACAGGATTTCTTTGTGTAGTTTTTGGTGCCTGTCCTAAATCTCACTCTGTAGACCAGGCTGGCCTTGAACTCACAGAGATCTGCCTGGCTCTGCCTCCCAAGTGCTGGTATCAAAGGTGTGCACCACTGCCGCCACCACCAGTTGTTGCTCTTGCAGAGGACCTGGGTTCGATTCCCAGCACCTAATGGGTGGGTCATAACCATGTGTAACTCTAGTTCCAGGGGATCTAATGCCCTCTTCTGACCTTCACAAGTTCCAGGTATGCAAGTGGTACACATACGTATACATAGGTAAAACACTTATAAAGTAAAAACAAATGAACCTAAAAAGAGTTGGCTCTCCCTGCCACGGTGTTGGTACTGGAGATTAAACCTAGTCTTAATGGCAAATGCTCTATCTGATGAATCATCTCTTGTATATTTCATTGTTACTTCTCCCACCCCACCCCCACCTCATGTATGGATGTGCCCGTGTATATGCATGAATTTATGTATGGATGTGCATGCACTTGTGTATATGTGGATGTAGAATTCATAGGTCATAGATCCATATTGGGTGGGTGTCTTCTTCCCCCTCTTCCTTTTTTTTTTTTAATTTATTTTTTTTACAGAGTTCTCACTACTTAGCCTTGGCTGGCCTGGAACTCACTATGTAGACCAAGCTGGCCTCCAACTCCCAAGATCTGGCTACCTCTGCCTCATCATCCTTAGTGCTGGGATTAAGACATGAGCTACCTGGCCCAGCCAATCTTAATTTTTGAGACAAGGTCTTACTGAATCTCGAATTCATCAATTCTGCTAAACTGATTGGCCAATGAGTTCCAGGGATCTGCCCGTCTCCATCTCTCCAGTGTGGGGATTACCGATGTGCGCTGCCACATCTGGCTTTTTTACATGAGTGCTGGGATCTGAACTCAGGTTCTTATGCTTGTAAGGCAGGCAGGAACTTTACTGACAGAGCCATCTAACCAGGCCCTGCTGTTCTCTCTCTCTTTTTTTTTTTCCCAGACAGGGTTTCTCTGTGTAGCTTTGCGCCTTTTCCTGGAACTCACTTGGTAGCCCAGGCTGGCCTTGAACTCACAGAGATCCACCTGCCTTTGCCTCCCGAGTGCTGGGATTAAAGGCATGCACCACCATCACCCGGCTTCCTGCTGTTCTTTTGTTTTGTTTTTGGAGATGGGTTGCGTGTATCCCTGCTGCCCTTGAGTTATTACATAACCAAGAATGACTTAGAACTTGTGATCCTCCTACCTCCACCTTCCTTTTGTTGCAACTTCAGGCGTGTGCCATTTGCCTGATTTGTGTGGTGCTGGGATTGGACCTGTGATTCTTTCATGATATACAAACACTCAGCTGGGCTGTGTCCCCAGCTCCAGTCTTAATTTCTTCAGTCTCTTTTGATCTCTAGCAGTCTTCTACCGCTTGGGTGGGGTTGTATTTAGGATTGAACATGGGGCCTTCATTTGCTGAGCATGGGCTCTACCGCTGACAGAAACCCTAGCTCTTCTTCCCTGTCCGCCGTGACACTGATACTTTGGAAGATTAAATCATGGACAGTTTTGTATTCTTCACAGAGAATAGCAAAGAAGTTTTAGAGAAATACCAAGAGAGTAGTGTTCAAAAAGTTTAATGTGGGCTGAATGTGGTAGTACATGCCTGGTGTCCTAGTACTCAGAGGCTGAGGCAGGAAAATCATGTGTTCAGGCTGGCCTGTGCTACAGAGTTAAGTTCAGGGCCATCCTCAGCTACAATGCCATAATAATAATAATTTAAAAACGATATGGGGCCAGGCAGCAGTGACGCACACCTTTAATCCCAGCATTTGGGAGGCAGAGGCAGGCAGATCTCTATGAGTTCAAGGCCAGCCTGGTCTACAGAGTGAGATCCAGGACAGGCACCAAAGCTACACGGAGAAACTCTGTGTTGAAAAAAACAAAAACAAAAAACAAACAAAGAAACCCAAAAAACAATATGAGAAACTTTTTTTTAACAACAAAAAACATATTTTGACTTAAAGTCTTGGATTTAAACCATTTCTGCCCTTTAGTTGTGGCAAGGGCAAGTTACTTTGTCTCTCTAATTCAATTTCCTCAGCTCTACAAGGGCACAGATAAAGCATGGCATGAGAAAAAGAGTGATACTGTATCAAGTTGGAGCAGCACAGGATGTATGTATAATGAATGGTATCACAGCCACCATGTTATGTGAAGCTGACTGCTCTTACCATGTTCAAGGTTAAATCTTCTCCAGTTCTCGTCCATGAGAGGAGTCTTTCCCTTTGTTTTTCTTTCTTTTTCTCTCTCTTTTTTTTTTGGGGGGGGGCTTAGTTTCTTGGGAAACTATGTGAGGGTCTCACTCTAGTTCAAACTGTTCTAGAACTCACTTACAGTTCAGGCTAGCCTCCAAGTTCTGGGACCGTAGGTGTGAGGCACTGTGCCCTGTAGTTCTTTTCTTAAATGGAAACATCTCAAGAATTTCTTGCATTTTGCTGGGCAGTGGTGGTGCACACCTTTGCTCCCAGGTGGATCCCTGTGAGTTTAAGGCCAGCACAGTGAGTTCCAGGTTAGCCAGAGCTGTTACACAGAGAAACCCTGTCTTAAAAGGACAGAGAGAGCAGAGCTGTTACACAGAGAAACCCTGTCTTAAAAGGAGAGAGAGAGAGATTCTTGAATTTCTTAGGTATTTTAGCCCTTCCCAAGCAAGCGTCTTCAGGCTCCTCCAACTGCCTGCTCCTACATTCAAGTTCTGTGGTAGATGATTGTGTGTATTTGCTGTTCACAGCACCAAACCTAATAACTACAAAATGGTAATGTCTAAGAAATCATTTACTAAGGAACAGCTTACTATTTGCTCATTGTTTGGTTTATTGACATGACCTGTTTGCTGAACTTACTGGAATGTAGCAAGATTAAATCTTGCTTCATTCACACCTGAGTTGGTGCAAAACACATTTGGCAGATATTCTAATGACTCGTATAATTTGCCACAGAAGTAATTCCAGGAGGCAATACTCTTACCGGGTTGTACTCTGTTGGATTTAAAGGAGTTCATGCCAAAGGCCAGTGGTCTCTAGCTTAAGGTGTTTCTCTTGGCAGCCGGGAAGATTTCCAGAGGATTCCAGAACTTGCCATCAACCCCCTGGGGGACCGGATCATCAATGCCTTCTTTTCAGAGGGGTGAGTTGGGATGGCTGCTGCTGTTGCACAGCCCTTGGTCTTGGCTCCTTCCTTTGTTGTCTAGCCTGCATAATTGCTAATGTAGACTAATTATAGTAGTAACAATAACAATAATGTATAATGGAATAATGATAGTTGTCATCTCAGATCGTGGTTGTCCAGAGTTAAATTGGACATCCCTAATTTTCATATCTAGATTATCTCTTGTGTTTTACCCACCTTGATTTTTTTCTTCTACTTCCTTTTGTGTGTGTGTGTGTGTGTGTGTGTCTGTGTGTCTGTGTGTGTGTGTGTGTGTGTGTGCACCACCTGTTTAGTGCCATCAGAGAGTATTAGATCTGCTGGAACGGGAATTGTGGAAGTCTAGTTCATAATTTACAGCACATAACACATTATTGGCTGTTAAAGTGTTGGACAATGCAGTCTGCATTTGTGGTCATTTGCTTCTCCCTTAATACCTCCTCCCCCTCCAAGCTATTTCAGTTTTTTTTCCTTTGTTTTTGAGATGGGAGCTCTCACTGTATAGTCCTAGGTGACCTGGAACTCATTACATAGACCAGGCTGGCTTCATACTTACAGAGTTCTGCACACCTCTGCCTCCTGAGTTCTGGTATTAAAGGTATGCCCTTCCATACACCTGCTTGCTTTTTTTTTGGTGGGGCTGAGTCACAAGCATATGTATTGATATATGCTGGTCAAATGTATTACCACTGAGCCATTTCCCTAGCCTCCTGCCTTGGTCCTCTCCCTCTCATATATATGAGATTACATATACACAGACATATAATACATGCACACATATTCTTTTTTTTGTTTGTTTGTTTGTTTGTTTGTTTGTTTGTTTGTTTTTTTCCGAGACAGGGTTTCTCTGTGTAGCTTTGCGCCTTTCCTGGAACTCACTTGGTAGCCCAGGCTGGCCTCGAACTCAGAGATCCGCCTGCCTCTGCCTCCCGAGTGCTGGGATTAAAGGTGTGCGCCACCACCGCCCGGCTGCACACATATCCTTTGTTCACATTATATATTACATAAATGTGTGTGTGTTCACATAATTCTATTTTTTAACTGTTTGTGGGTAAATTGCATTCATTTATCTCTGAATGCTTTGTATATGTTTGCTTAGAAGTTATCCCTTCTAAAATTTAATATTGATCACTTACAGAGCAGGATGATGGTGCATGCCTATAACATGATCAGTTGGGAGGCTGACACAATAGATGGCTTCCAGTTTTGAAGATAGACTGGGCTGTAGAGCAAGACCTTGTCTCAGAAACAAAAGATGACGACGGTGACGATGATGATGATGATGATGATGATGATGATGATGATGATGATGATGAACTGCTAGCACTATCAGATAAAATGCCCAGATAGGAAATTTTATGATTCTGAATTGAGAACAAAGGAATTTGCTGTTGAGGTGATGGTGGCTGTCTTAGCTACTGTTTCTATTGCTGTGATAAAGCACTATGACCAAAAGCAACTGATGGGGGAGAGGGTCTATTCCAGCTTACAGTTCAAAATCAGTCCATCGCGTCATCGAAGGTCAGGAGAGGAACTCACGGTTGGAACCTGAAGGCAGGGACTGAAGTAGAACCATGGACGAGTGCTGCTTACTAGCTTTCTCCCATGGCTTACTCAGCCTGTTTTCTTCCCCCTTCCCCGCCCCCCACCACAATCAGAGTTTTTCTGTGTATCCCTGCTGTCCTGGAACTCAGAGATCTGCCTGCCTCTGCCTCTAAAGGCGTGAGCCACCACCAAGGCTTCATCCTGTTTTCTTATACTACCCAGGGGTAGCCCCACCCACACTGTGCTGGGCCCTCCCACATCAATCACTAGCTTTAAAAATACTTGGGAGACATGCCTACAGGCCAGTCTAGGTTCTTTCTTCCCAGCTCTAGCCTATGTCAAGTTGATCTAAAAACTACCGGTACACACATGGTCCGGTCATACATGCCAGCAAAACACCCATACACATAAAAGGTTTTGTTTTTGTTTTAATTGAATAAGAAAACTCAAACCAGTTAGATCAGGAAGGGTGGCAGGAATCAGTCAGACCAAGACACACTCCATTCAGAGTCCTGTTGAACCGAGCACTCTTCTGTTCTTCCCTTCCTCCGTTCCTGCCTCCTGAGCACTGTGGTCAGGAGTGCTTTGAGAGCCTGCAGAGTGCTGCACCCCGTCCACAGATGTGCCTTACACACAGACCACTCACAGTGGAAAGTCCATTCACTAGAGTCATTTCGGGAACTTCTTTTCCCAAGCTCCTCAGTCGCCGTCAATTACTTGGAGAAACATCCTGTAGAAGTTTTCTTCTTCTT